CTTAGATTTTCTATCGTCTTGATTCAATTATTGAGGTCATATGTGTCTAGAAAGGTGTCACTTTGCCCAGATTTTCTAATTAATTGGGGTATGATTTTTCAAATTATTCCATAATGCTGGTGAAGATTTCAGAGGTATCTGTTAGAATATTCTCATTTTCACCTTTTATTTTATTTGTTTTGGCCTTCTCTGTGTCTTCCAGTTATTTGTCTAAAGGTTTCTCAATTTTGTGCTTTCGAAGAACTGACTCTTGTTTCATTGATCCTTTATTTGGATCTTTTGGATTCTATTTCATTTATTTCCTCACAGATTTTATCATTTCTTGCTTTCTACTAATTTTGAGGTTGTTTTGTTCTCAATGTCCTAAGATGTGAAGATGCATCATTAAGTTATTTGACAACTCTCTTTTTTATTGTAGGCAATCATAGTTGTAAACTTGTTTCTTAGAACTGTTTTCAGTACATCCCACAGATTTTCATATATTGTACATTCCCTTTCCTTTGTTACAGGAATTTTTAAATCCTCCTTCCCCGATTTCTTCACTGTTCATTCAGAAGTGTATTTTTCACTTTCTATGTGTTTGGATAGTTCCTGCAGTTTATTATTTATTCTAGTTTCATTCCATGCTGATCTGATGATATGGAAGAAATTATTTCAGTTTTTTGGTATTTGTTAAGACTTGCTTTATGTCTAAAAATCTTCTATTTTAGGGAAAGTTCAATGTGCTGATGGAATAATGTTTATTCTGCTCTTATTGGAATGAATATTCTATAGGTTCTTTAAGTCCATTTGATCTCTAGTGTAATTAACTCTGCTGCTTCTGTGTTGATTTTTGCTGACTGATCTATTTATGAGCATCAGGTGTCGAAGTCTCACATTTTTATTGTATTGAGGCCTATCTTGCCCTTTATGCCCTGTACTGTGTTTTTTATAAAAACGAGTTCACCAATGCTTAATGCATATGTATTTATAATTGTAGTATCTTCCTAATGGATTGTCCCTTTATTTATATGTAATGACCTTCTTTGTCTCTTCTGACCAATTTTGTCTTGAAAGTCTTTTCCATTGTATATGAGTGTAACTATTTTACTTCCTTTCATATTATAGTTGTTAGAAATAATATTTTCCATCCTTTCCATTTTTGTGTGTATCTTTGCCAATTAGGTAAATTTCATGCAGGCAGATAATTGGGTCTGTTTTTAATTCCAGTTAGCATTTTTAAAGATGACTTTATTAATTTTCTTTCCTTGCCTTTTTTTTGTTAGTACTAGAGATTGAATTCAGCATCTAAGACTCTGGCCATTGATTGAGTCACAACTTCAGCCTTAAGGATTTTTTAATTAATTGAAGAATTAAGGCCATTTTCATTCAGGCTTATTTTTGAAATTATGTACTAGGTCTTGTGATTTCATTCTTTTCTTCTGGTTGTTTTCAAACTTCTGTGTTCATTTTTTGTCTTTATTCACTATAGAGTTTTGATGTTTTATTGAAAGAATCATGTTAATTCTTTCTTAGTTCTTACTTGTTTATCTATGCTTCTGGTGAGATTTATTTTTTCCCATGCTCTTGTGATAGTGTTTATCTTGCTTCCTCTTCTGAGTTTTGGATTCCTTTAAGTATCTTCTACAGTGCTGGTACAGTAGTCATGAATTCATTTAAGCTTCTATTAGCAGGCCTCTATTTCTCCTTTGACTCCCACGGATAATTTTGTGGTTGTAGTAATCTGGATTGGCAGTTATTTTATTTCATGGCTTGAATTATATTATTCTATGCCCTTTAAGCCTTTACAGTTTCTGTGAAAACACTGCTGTTATTCTGACGGCTTTGCCTTTGTGTGTGACTTGGCAATTCTCTCTTGCGATGTCCAATATTCTTTCTTTACTCTGTATTTTTGCCAGTTTAACTGTCATCTGACAGGGAAAGTTTCCTTTTTGGTCATATCTATTTGGACTTCTAAATGCCTCCTGTAGCTGGATATAATTTCTTTCCTAAGATTGAAAAATCATTTGCTGTTATTTAACTGCATAGATTTTCTGTGCCTTTAACTTTTATATCTGATCCTTTGTCTATCTAAATTATCCATAGATTTAGTATTTTAATTGTGTTCCAAGGTCTTAGGTATTCAGTTCATAAGTTCTTCTTTTCTTTATTTTGTCAGAATGTGATAATTCATCAGTTTTGTCTTAGAATCCTGATAGTCTTTCTTCCATGTGATCTGTTAGGAATTGTTAGTATAGTGTGCTTTATTAGGAAAGCAGAATGACACCTTAGGAGTGAGGTGAGCAGTTTAGGTAAATATTCACTACCCTGAAGCTGTCAGAGTGTGGGGTTCTATCCAATAGGGTGAGGTTTCTATATGCAAGAAACAATAATGCAGTCTCTCCCTTTGTGGCCCTCCCCAAAGAGTTTGACCATTGCCTCTACATTTGATCCTTCTTGCCATTTCCACTTGATTTTTTTGCTTTCCCATTTGAATCTCTTTCTCCTACTATGGTTGAAACTTGACATGGGAAATGAGTGGTCTCCATAAAGAGAATATATGACCACTATCTTAACCATTGATGCAGGGTGTGAGTCATATGGGGGTTTTAGGAAGAAGTCTTATAACCTGGGGCACTTCCGAATTCTAGCTTATGTTTTATGTATCTACCTACATTAATATTTCCCCTCTAAGGAGGTGAGGACACTGAATTATTTTAAGTGTATGGAGAGTGAGATCCATTTGGCTACTTCTTGTTGACAAGGAGTAGTGGAGGTATGTATCAGAGAGGGTCAGACATCAGGGAGCGTCAGGGTTGCCTCTCCTCTGCACTGAGTCAGGGACAACTCTTGAGACAGAGAGTGGAAGAGAGGGGAAGAAAGCCTCCCAGGAAGAGGGAAGAACAGCATATTGGCCTATGTCATTCCCACCTCTGGAATGGGTTTACCCAAGTACAATAGTTATGACCCAGGCAATCAACCCACGCTTAGCTGGTGACCCTTTAATGCCTAAGCCCCGGTCACCATGCACTGACTTCTTTATTTTTTCCACACGGCCTCCTTGTGATCTCTGCTACCTCCTTATGGTCCCACTAGATATCAAGGCCAGGAACTAGTGGCAGAAGAGGAGAAAGGGAAGCAAATCCTGGATATCTCTGTGAGATAACACGACTCTCCTTCTTCCTATGACATCACTATCCTAGGCATAACTATAGATTGATGAATCCCAACTGGAATGCAAATCCAGCCTGCATTATCCTACCCTTCTTCCCATGCCCAAGAACCTTACCAACCCTTAATACATTCCTCTCTCTCTCTCTGTCTCTCTCTCTCTCTGGAGTGTCATTCTCCAGGAAGATAGTCAACAGCACCAGCTTTGAAGCCAGATACACTCTGGGTCACACCCTGAATCTACCTTCTAGCAGCTGAGAAATCTTAAGTCCATGATGGAGATCTGTACAATCTGCAACCCACATGATGTCTACATTTGTATCCCTCAGACCCAAATCAACAGCACCAGCTTTGAAGCCAGATACACTCTGGGTCACACCCTGAATCTACCTTCTAGCAGCTGAGAAATCTTAAGTCCATGATGGAGATCTGTACAATCTGCAACCCACATGATGTCTACATTTGTATCCCTCAGACCCAAATCTCAGTTCAAATCTGTACTCACAGACATTGTCTTCCCTCTCCATATTCCTGCCAGTTACTGAATAAAGAAAAGTTTTTATTTAAAATCTCGCATTTAGGAGGAACCAATGTCCTAAATGACATATTTGCTCACCTATTTCATAAGGTTTTTTGGAAATCTACAGTTTTTCAGGACTCTTCTAGCTATTGAAGTGACAGATGGTCCCTTCCCTAACAGAGCTAGTGAACATTGACAAATGCAGGTGGTTTCACTTTTGGGTTGACACATATGAATTTTAGTGACCACCATTAATGTCACTTGTGCCCTCATTACATGGCTCAAATTTTAATTAGCACAGCAAACATCTGTGATTGCATAACACATGAAATTCCAGGCTGGATCGTCAGTACACAAGTGTGAGTAACAAGTTCTTATGATGATCGGTGATCAGTCACATTACTGCTTTCTAAGTCTACAGGTGACTGGTTGGTCCCTTGAGTGTCTTCTTCAGTTTCACAACAGATGGCAGAGCCTGAACTTATGTTGCCTCCTTGTCTCCCAGTAATGAATCCTCAGTGCATTTTACAGAAATGAACAATTGAAACAAGGAATAGGCCAAAAGAATGAAGGTGCAATCCAGAAACCATAAGATATAATGTTGAAGGTGAGATTCAAATTGAATGAAAGTGGACTTACAAATGTCTATGTAGCTGACTGTGATGTGTTAGCACTTACTTTCTCCAGGGGATTATCAAAGGCGGCCAGAGGAAGTTAGCGAGGGTGAACTACAAACATCAATAAGTGACATGTTCTCATATTTCCAGAGACCCTGTGGCAGACACAGGGAGGGGTTAGATGCTCCCGCAATGGTCCTGGAAGAGATGGAGCTGGCTGGAGTTAAGCCGTGTGTAGACTGTGTGTATAGTTCCATGTTCTGCAGAGGTGGGTGGGAAAGACGTGGGGAAAGCCCACTGTGAAATTGTCAGGACTTTGCAATTGGGATATTAAAGGATTGGTAGCTGGAAAGTAGTAATGTTTTCTGTGTTTGTATTACAGGAATATACAAGCACTACAAATCACCATTTTTAATGTATTCAGAGCTAATGTTTGAATATTTGGGAACTCTGCATTGGACTTAAGCATTTTTGAGCAGTAGTGGTATTTGAACACAGAGCTTTGCACTTGCTAGGCAGGTGCTCTACTGCTTGAGCCACGCTTCCAGTGCAGGACATAAGCATTATAGAGACAAATTGAATATAGGGTATTCAACTTACCCCATTACACTACATTCCTTTACCAACACACTTTACTATCATTTTAGCTAAAACAAAAAAGCAACTGAAAGAAGAATAATTCAAAGGTTTTTCAACTGTCCATAAGACTGGGAAGAAGGCAGGGAAAGAGAGGAACCAATGTTCTCATCTCGGAGGATGAGGGTAGATTTTTTGGTGAAGGGAGTCGAAGGAATCGGATACATGGATAAAGAGGAAGGAAAATAACTTTTCTTTATTCCTGTAACATTTTGGGTTTTTTGATGGCACTGGTGTTTGAACATGGGGCTCATGTTTGCTGGGCAGTGCTCTACTACTTGAGACATTCTGCCAGTACTGAGAACAATTTTTCTCCTTAAACCCATGATGGGGGTTCATCTGAGAACCTCAGCAGGCTGAGAAGCTGGTGTACACAAGAATCCTGAAGCCAGATGAAGTCTGGAGGGTGTGCACTAGAGTGTGTCATGATGATCCTAGAGGCCTTGGATGGGAGATTCCCTGATGTGCTCACACTCAGCTGGTTTGTTACATCCTAGGAAGGGGTCCTGAGTCAGGCCCAGAGCCAGTTCAGGTGGCTGCTCAGGAGCAGGAATCTCCTCTGCATTAAGGGCTGTGCAGAAGAGCAGCAGGAACCTGTAGCCGGTGGTGTCCATGGAGCACTGCATGTGGATCAGAATCCACGGAAGCTTCCCGTCAACTCCTGTCCCATGCCGAGCCTCTCCAGTCAAGGGGCAGCATGAGGCAAGGGATGGAGGAAGGAGCTGTGGAGAAACGTGTCACACTGACCATTCCTCATCATTCATGAATCGTCTTCTGGGTGTTCTTACATCCCTGGTATACTGTAGTCATCCTGGGATGCCTGACATGAATGGACAGGCCACCCCTGGGACAGGAATCCAAACTTAGCCTCCTGCTTGTGTCCTGACTCTATTTCCCCATCCTATGTATTTGGTCACAGAGATGGCCAGAAAGGAACAACCCACAGAGTAGCCCATGTGGAGCATCCCAATTTTACAGCAAACTCTGGACTAATTCTTGTCCCATGAATACTCAGCTGTCAACTAATATAGAGGACACTTCCATAGGGGCCAGGCAGTACCTTGTTCCTTATTGCAAGCCCTCGGCCCATACCTCCATGAAGCCCTTTGACTCTGTGGACACCTTGTGCAAACCCTTGACCTCTCTCCTCCTTCAACACCTGGGAGCTTGGAGCCTGTCAGAGAGTTCCATGAGACTCCCAACATGCTGAGGGACATGTGTCACCTACTCTAGACTCCACTGACTCAGACAGCGTATGATGGGAACTAGCCACCTGGTAACCCAGCCCCTTCCTCAGTAGCCCTTGGCCTGCATTCCCTCTCCCAAACTTACACTTAGGCCTTCTGCTTCTTGCAGATGTACACAGCAGAAACTCCAATTGCCAGCAACACCTTGGTGCTGAGGAGCAGAGCAATGAGAACAGCAGGAATAGAAGATACACTTTTACCTGGAAATCAGGGAACAGGAGAAGTCTTAGTGTACCCACTGGGTTCCTTTCCCAGGAGCCTCATTTGCCCATCTGAAGCTCCCTCAGATCAAACTCTGAAGATCTTGAATGTGGCACTGTCTTGGCTGTGCTGGTTCAATTCTGACGTAAAAAACAGGGTAAAGAGGTTCCTCCTTCCCACTCATCCCTGCCTCAACCCACCAAGTTTTCCTCCTAGGGGAACGGGTTGAGGTGAATACTCAGTGACACATTACCTATGCGTGGAATGTGAATTCCATTTTGATCCTCATAATTCTTTTGGGCAAGTATTATCATCCTGATGGGGAAATCAAGGCAGAGAGTTTAGGGAGGGTCACAAGATTCATGGGACGCAACCCCAGAGAAGCCATCACTGCTCTCTTGTAGAGTCATCACTAAGACTGTTTCCTGGGATCAAGGCAATTCCAGCCTCCCAGGGCCACAGGAACAATTGTGAACAAGGCATGCACATGGAGTGAGAGGGTTACATGGGGAGAGAGTTGACAAGTGCCTCCTTAGGACTGGGTTGAGCTGGAGGGCCCAATTTTCTCAGTAGCTGGGGAATCATTTTAAGGGAGGCAAGCTAATGAAACCACTGCCTGGAAAACACCCAGGTGAGTCAAGGCAAAAGGTGTCTTGCTAGTGAGAGAAGACAACAGGCCGTTAACTGAAATCAGGCAGGTGTAGTTAGGACCAAGAGCTCCCCTGGAAACTTCTGTTGTAACCTCAGTTACTGAGACAGACAAGAAAAATGACATCATCCCCTTAGCAACCCGTTTCCCTAGCAAAGCCCTCCCCCAGAACTCAGGTGGGTGGGAAAGGGGAAGGGCAGGGAGGAACTAAATGAGAATAGATGAGACCATGGTCTGATCAGAAGTTTGCAGGCACAGCCAACCAGAATGCTGCTTTCCACACACCTAATTATCATAGAAAACATGCTACTCCCAGGACAAAACAGGTTAAAAGTCCCCAGACCCAAAATTCACTGGCACCGCACTTGATTCCGCTACCCCGCTCTCTGCCTGATGTGAGAGCTTTGTTCATTCTCTTAATAAATTTCTTGTCTCTACTCTTGCCCTCCGTTGTCTGTGAGTTGCAATCATTGCATTCATGAGACAAATTATCAGGAACTCTCTGCCTCTGAAATAATAGAGCTGTAACCCTAACCAGACCCCAATTGCACAAGATTCAATTTCACTAGAGAGGGGCCTCACCCATCATCCCTAGCATGACACCTGTTGCCTTGACTACAGGGACAACCTCGCCTCCAGTGTCAATGTCATCTGAAATCTCTCTGATGTCACAGTCAGATGGGGAAGCAGGTATTTGGTCTTTGCACTTCTACAATGCACTGTTTTCGCTTTTAAAGTTAAACAATGAATGAAATACGGTTTTTAGAAATGTAATCGTGCTGATGCATCCTTAGGAAGGAGTGGAAGACTAATCCTATGTGGCTGGTGGGGTCAGGAGGCCAACAGATCCCAGCTGAGTGACTCTGGGACACTCTTCAGGTGATAGACCTCCATTGCTCAAGTCTACTCTATGTTCCATAGTGACTACACACAAGCAAGAGTCACTGAATCATCTGACAGAGTCTAACTCTTCCCAACAATTAAAACTTCTCAAATGTCCTCCTCACCTTCAAGCTCACTGTTAATCTGCTACATCATTTGATGTGCCCCACTGAAGGTCACAGCATTACCCTCAGGCCTACTTCTCCATTCCTCAGGTGCGTTGACCCCAACAGTACTCCAGAATGTTCCCTTCTCTCCTATGTCCATCTGAACATGTGCTTCCTGGGGAAACTGACCTCGAGGAGGGCCTGGGGAGAAGACTCAAATGCACATCTGGCTGGAATGAAACCCAAGCACTGGTGGTAGCATCAGCATGGCTGCTACTGTGTTTAGTTGACATGCAATTGTTAAAGGTTTCTCTGACAGTGAACAGGATGGTGAAGCCACATGAAGGAAATTCCTTGGCATTAGGTATTTGAACAGGAATTGGGAACTGGTGATTGGCATTGAATGATTCTCTCTGGGCTTCAGTCCTTTTGGGAAAGACAAGGAAATGCTAAGAGTAAATGGTCAGAAGTTAGAGGTTAAGTGTGGAGTCAAAGGACTTCTTGGTAGCAGTACAGAATCCTTTCTCCTGAAGCCAGAGGGCAGCAAAAGCAGAGGCTCAGGCTCCACACATAATTGAAAGCAAAAGAGCTACAGAGGATGCTGGATCCTCAAATAGAAGTGGCTGTCCTCAAATAGAAGTGCTGGACAGGGCTCTTCTGTTCAGATGTATGGTACCACAAGAATGAGAGTAGGGACATAGGGACCAAAGCTCAAAGTCTGCAGTCAGCTTCTGGGTGCTGAGAACAACTGCAGTAGAATAGCCACAAATTACCTACAATCCAAAAATAACCAAGAACATCTATTGGTGGAGTGTGGTGGCCTACTCTATAATCCCACACTCAAGGAATCTGAGTCAGAAGGATCAAAGTTTGAGGCCACACTGGGATACATAGCTCCATCCTGTCTTAAAGAAGAGAGAAAAGAAAACAAAATTCACCTATTGTAACATGTAATGTTCACTGTACCCAGGGTGGTGACATGGAATAGGAATTCCTGTGGTCACACCTTACAGATAAGGATCTGGCATGTGCCACACCTCACTTCTCATTGGCTGACCTTAATAATTCTTATATTCATGTTGGTGCCCAGGCTTAGCAGAGAAATCTAAAATTAATAATTCAATCCTACTCCCTTAAGAAACCACAAAACGAAGAGCAAAATAAACTGAAAGCAAGCAGAAAAAAAGGAAATAATGAAAAGAAAGAAAACTAGTGAAATAGAATTATTGAAACAAGGAGGTGATCTACAGAAAATATCAATAAAATTGGAACTTTTCTAGCAAGACAGATAAAATAAAAGGGAAATGACACATTTCCTACACCACGATCGGAACAGAGACATCACTAAGGACCCTGCAGATATCAAAAGGATTAATTGTGAGAAATTCTATATTCAGAAATTTGACACCTGAGATATGATGGATCAAAATAACTCAAGCAGCACAACCCACCACAACACAACCATATGAAATGATCAATGTAAGTGGCTGTGTGTTAGTCAGTTTACTGTTGCTGGGGACCAGTTCCTGAGAAAGCCAAAAGGAGGAAGGATGTATTTTGCTCCCAGATTCAGAGGTTTCAGTCTATATTGCTAGGCTCTGTTGACTCTGAGTCCATGGTGAAATAGCACACCATGGAAGCAGGAACAAGTGGCAAGGGGCTGCTTACCTCATGGTGGACAGGAAGCAGAGAGAGAGAGACAGAAAGACAAAGACAAAAGCTGAGAGGAAGGAGCTGGGAACATGATACAGCCCACAAGCCTAGATACCCTAAACTGATGAATTGATTAAGAAAGTGTGGCACATGTATATAATGGAATATTATTAAGTCATAAAGAAGAATGACATTTTGTTGTTTGCAACTACAACAACTGCATGGAACTGGAGAGCATCATGTTAAGTGAAGTAAGCCAGATTCAGAAAGACAAAAGCCGCATGTTTCTCTCATATGTAGAAGATAGTCCCAATTACAAGTACAACCAACAACCTGTATATGTTTTTATATATGTATATATATACATATATATTCATACACACATATATATACAACATGTTTCCAAAATCAGGACTGTTAAAGGAGACTTAGGGAGGAAGAAATGAAGAAAAGAATGATAGGAAATGAATAATGTAATACACATCATCTGTGTAGGAACAAGATAAAATGAAATGCACTGAAAATTGTTGAGCAATACAAAGTAGAGAGAAAAGAATAGGCAAACTACCAAGGAAAAACCCCATTGAACAACAGATAGGCACTTAAACAATGAAGGACAGGAATGTAAAACAGGTCATATTCAGGATAGGGTAACAGTGGGAGGGGGAGGGTAAATGAAGAGAGTAAAGGAGGGTGGATATGGTTGAGGTACTTTCTATACACGTATGAATGTGGAACACTGAAACCTGTCAAAACATTCCAAGAAGGTGAGAGAAGTAGGAGGGAGAATAATGGAGGAGATGAACCAAACTGGGGTATAATATATACATATGGAAATGTCACAACAAAACCCCCTGTATAACTATCATATACTAATAAAAACATTTTAAATTAAAAGAATATAGAACTTCAGAAAAGATTTCTTGAAGCCCAGATGTATCACATGAGAATGTGACCAAGGATTTAAAGGTAAATTAAAATAAAATTTGGTGTGCAAAAAAGACATAAAAGTAATTTTCAAAAATATAAATGTGCATCCTATTTTAGATGATTGGAAATGATTATTGTAAACTGTATTATCTTGTGATCATTATATTGTTTTTGTAGATCGATGTCTTTGGTCACTTGCCCACCCAATGTCGACTCCACTGCACTGAATATGCACCATGACTTAGCTCTTGGCTGGTATGATCACAGAGTTTCCACACATCTCTTATGAGAAAGAAATTGTCCTCCATGGCCTGTCTCTACTCTTCCCATAGGCAAGTCAGTGATCCATTGTGGACCCAAAGGTTAGTGCCACAAAGCAGGACATACTGGAAAGAACCTGACCTTGAAAAAGTGGGAGTGGAGAGACACAACTGGTATTACATGAGAGGAAAATAATACATATTTGGTGACAGGAAGAGGGACTCAGGCCAACTGTAGATCCTCGGGACAATGACCAATGGAGAGGGATCATTGCATTAAACAGCATGAATTTACCATGCAGGTTGGTGGTGGTCCTGTTTTAGGAACCTTGGACCCCTTGATTAGCTTAGGCCTCTTACCTGGCATAATGGCAGGGGACACCAATAGCAACTTTCCTGGTTGCTTCCCAGTCCCAGTTTCCCTTTCTGTAAAACTGTGAACTCAGAAGGAAGTTGGAGAAGGAGAGGTGACCACAGATAAACTTGTATTTCCGGGTGGTGAATGTGTGGTGAGAGATAGGATTGTTTTGAGTCCATTGTCACCAGTCAGGAGACAGGAGGCCCTGTTGTGATCGTGCATAGCCCCTTTGGAGCCTGGTACACACTTAAACCCATGTCTTCGGGGAGATCATTTGGAGTTATACCAGCAAGTGCCAGGGACTGCTGGGTGAGGATCAAGATGTATATGAAAGTCTAAGTTGAGATGGAGACTGGGGTGGTTAAAAAGAGTAAGAATGGGGGAGAGGGCCAAGGGAAGCAGAAGGTAACAACAGTTAGGTGAGGAAGGCAAGAGGGGGGAAATGATAGGATAGGCAATCCCCCTTCCCTCTCTTCTGTCTTCATTAACATTTTTTGATGTCAAAAGATCCATTGATATGTCTGAAACTTACCTGTACTACCCTTTGGAATATGGGAACTGAGGAAGAAAGGTTCCCTCAGTCATATTGTATATCTTGTAGACTTACGGATTTTTCTATAATAACTATGAATACTACTTTTAACATGTAGAAAGAGATAAAATTTTTTCTTAAAAGAGCTGGTCAGCTGGGGTGGTGTCTTACCAGGGGTGGTATCTGTGCCCTGCAAAGTAAGTTTTCTAATGGCTGCCGGCTGCCCGTCATGCTCCACTTGGCAGGTGAACACCATGCTCTCCCTATGGGCAGACGAGTTGACCAGGAGCCAGCTGGTCTGGTTGTAAGTCCCATCCTTGTTCTCTGTGAGGGTTGAGGCCGTTTCTGTCCGGGACACGTTTCCGTTCTCTAACCAGGTGAGCTGCAGGATCTGGGGGTAGAACTTCTTCACCTGGCAGGTGAGGTTCACCTGGTTGCCTGTCATCCTGGGCTGTTGGGTGACCTCCAAGGTGGGTGGAACTGAAACAGCACAGGCGGGAGCTCTGACCTTGTGGTACAGATGGATCCCAGAAGGGGAGATGGAGCGCTGAGCCCCCAGCACCATGCCAAGGGCATCACCCAGACAGTGCTGGGCAGGCAGCAGATGCTCAACACGAGGGTGTGCATATGAGTGAAACCACTAAGCACAGCACACAGTAGGGCTGTTAGCTCCTGTTAGGGTAACAATGAGTACAAACAACACGTGCAAACCCTGGCATGCAGTCAGATGCAGTAACAGCAGCAACTAAACAAAAGCACCAGGCACTTGGGGATCAGGCCATGCTAGGTGCCCAATACTTGTAGCTGCTTTTAGTAAAACTAAGTGCAACTACCAGCACAGTGCATGGCACAGGGAAGAGACCTCCTGTGCATGGTAGGGTCAGGCCTGCTGGGCATGAGGTGCCAGGCCATCAGGCCCTCGGGCAAAAGCCCTGGGGAGGAGCAGGCTTAGTGGCCAGGTGTGGAGTTGGGCTGGAAGTCAGGGTCATCTACCTCGGATGGTGTCAGACAAGTTGGCAGTCCCACGAAGAGGAGCCCCCTGTAAAGTGACGTGGGCCACCTCACAGATGACCTGAGAGTGGACGTCTCCAGGGTCCAGTGCCACCTGGGCTGTGCTGGAGATGCGGTAGGAGACGCTCTCTCCTGTGGGATCCACATTGGTCTGGAAGTTGGAGAGCATGTTCCCATTTTTGAACCACTTCAGGGTGATGTTCCGGGGGGAGAAGCCGTGGGACTTGCAGGTGAAGCTCACTGTCTGCCCAGGCGTAGACCTGGTCCCAGGGCCCGATACCATAGGTGGAGAGGGTCTGGCTACAAAGAGCATTTGACAAGAGACATGATTGTGATGGCCACCCCTGACCACAAGGGAGTGATGCTCTGAGCAACCTTCCTAGACAGTATTATTTTGTGTTTGTAGGGAGCTGGGAATAAAATCCAGGGAGTCATGAATTCTAAGCACTTTCTCTGCTAGTTGGCTAAGACCTCTGCCATAGACAATATTTGTTAATCCTCCAAATAATGCTGGGGTGGGTCTGCCTTATCCTCCTGTTGTGACCTTGTCCTACTGTCTCCAGAGGTGAGCACACCTGTCTAGACAGACAGTGAAGAAGGGCAGGCCCAGGTGAATTTCAGCCTGAGGTCAAACTTCTCTCTGCCCCAGGGGATCCACCAATCTGGGCACAGGAAGGAAACAGTGACCTGTCTATTGCTTTGTATTAACTGCTCCCTGCTGGCCTCCCCTGGACACCTTGCCATCCTAGGTGAAGCAATTCTAGAAGTGAACACAATGGACAAAGTACAACACGGGACAACAGGAACGCTGGAACCCTGCTGGCCATCGAAGGGAGCAATGCCCACAACCCTGTGCTGAGCCTGTGAAATGGGCGGTGATCTTTCACTTTCCTGGGCCACAGGAGGATGAAGTGAGGCCCTGGAAGCTTTTCATGTTGCATAACACACAGGACCTGCTTCTCACACAGGAATGCACAGCCCTGCCTTCCATATAGACTCCATCCATCCAGAGCTCTCCTTGCAGAAACCTATGACTCACTCCTTGATTTTCCTTCTTTCCACAAACACGCCAGGGGTCTAACCTATACTCAGTCCTGAACTTGAAAGTAAGAGGTTAAAGGATGCTTTCTGAATCTGAGTGCTTTTCCTGGGACTGTTTGGGGTTAGGATCACAGATCACAGAGTGCTGAGGAATCCAGGATGGATTCCTAATTAACTACAAGTCCCCCAGATACAGGTGCTCTGAGCAGGCAGGGGCACTTCCTGGTCATGAGAGCACACAAATGCATGATGGGAAGTGGGAGGCAGAGTCTGCTGATGGCCAATTATTACCCAGCCCATTCTCCAACAGGCATTAGACTAGCCATATCACAGATAATTGTAAATGTTTTACTTCCTACCTGCCACCCTCAAGCACCTTCCTGGTACATAAGGAAAGTGTCACTTGAAGAAATAAGACAGCAGCAGCCACAAGATACTGATGGCATCCTGGGCTATAATTTGTTGATTAATCAAGGGTTTCTGTGCATCCTGACCTGGCCTGATACTTATGAGTCCCTAAGCTCCTCCATACTCCCACTAGCTCTGTAAGGGTGACAGATTGTGAATTCCTTGTGGGACAAAGCTGTGAGAGGGACATGGCCGGCCAAGGGAAAACAGGTAGAAGAGGGAGTAAAAGCACAGTTCATCTCATCCCACACAGGCTGATTAATTTACAATATTCTCCTGATCTCTTCGTGTGTTGTATTTGTATGTTTCTGGGGACATGCATATGACAGGCAAGCATTCTACCACTAAGCTACACCACCACACACTGGTTCTTTATCTTCTGAGCCTCAGTGTCTCTGTCTGTACAAAGTGGAAAAACCACAACCTGGGAAGATGAGCAAGGATTGATTGAACACAGTGACGTGTTATATTGTAGTTGCTTGATGAATAACACCTATGACTACACACGCATTCATTCTTTACATAGCCAGCAGGCACAACAAAACCAGAGAAACACCAGTAACAGTCTCCATCCTGTTTCTGCTGCTGCCATGAAAAACCAGAATGAGAAAGGGCCAAAAATCACTGTATCAGGCCCCTCTCCTCTACTAATAATTTCCTCAGGAACAGAGTTTGTGAAGTGGTTTTCTTATCACAAAGAGATTCACAGGCATTATCCCAAGGAGCTCTTTACAGAAAGCTGGATGCCCTGTGCAAGGAGGAGGACAAAGTGCATCGGGTGACATTGAGGCATGGGAGGCATGGGAGAGTCGTGTTCACAGTGGGGATTCACTGGGCTCCAGCACCAGTTCAGATGCAGACCTCTGTGAGATGGGGAAGTTCCAACTGAGGCTGGGGTCTGAGCAGCACACTGTCTGGGCTGCTGACTGGGAGATGTGCCCTCCCTGCCATGCAGACCCCAAAGAGCTGTGCCCGGCACGTGCTATTCTGAAGTGGTCACACTGAAAAGGAGTTCTGACACCCCAGGGCCATGGGGGACCAAAATGCCTGTAGGTTAACCCCCTCTGATCTCAGGGGTTGTCATCTCTCAAGAGTTGTGAGCCCTGGCTCTGTTTGAGAATCTTCTGGAGTAATCAGTTTTCAGATGCCCAGACCCTCATCAGAGCAACTGAGACAAATTTCCAGACTGGAGTCTGGGTCTGGGATTTATTTCAGGTTCCCAGGTATTCCAATGAGCAGCAGGTGGACATCACCCGACCCCCCCCATCCCATTGACACCTTGGCCTGGGGAAGGAAAGTGACTCATCCAAGGTCACACAGCCTCTACATGTCACACTCACAGTGATCTGACATTTCATACAAGCCAGGTACTGGTCTGACAGCTTGACATGTCTTCACTCCTCGGTCTCTGCCATGCTCTGCGAGGGGGACTCATAGGGAGACAGGTGAGGACGCTGAAGCCCTGGTGTCCCCATGGCACTGAGAGCAATGACTGGCACACAATAAGCCCTCGGTGCCTGTGGTGTAAGGAGGAGGCTTGACTACCGAGGGGAATTACTCCCTGGAGGCATGAGGACAGTGCAGGCCATACGATGGCCAAGTCACTTAAACAGAACCCTCATCTGTGGAGGCATTGGCTTGGCTGTGGGCAGGCAGACAAGGGTTGCACATGTCCCCTCACTGACCAGCTGTGGAGCCTCACACACGTGCAGGTCCTGTGTGGCCTGGGCCCTGATCACGGGTGGGAAATCAGTTCTTGAATATGAGCACCACTCCTGCACCTGCTCGTTAGCTGTCGCTACAGAACAGAGGGCGTTATTCTTGACCTGTTATTTTTCCCTAGGGGACAAAGGAAGGCCGCAGATACTCACCACGCACAGACAGCTCAGTGCCTGGTCCAGACTTAAACTCCGTGTCTTCAGAGCCACCGGCTTTCCGGAACTTCACGCAGTAGTAGGTGCCAGCGTCTGCTGGGGTGACATTACTGATGAGAATGGAGAAGTCCATGTTGTCCCTCTGTGTGACATCTGAAAGTAGTGTGACGCGGGAGAAGTGGCCTCCTTTCTGACGAAAGATCAATTCCCGGCCTGGTCCTTCCCCCCTGAACCACTGGATGGTCCCCACAGGGAGCAGGGAGGTCACAGTGCAGCGCAGAGTGGCCGTCTCTCCAGCAGCGACAGACACTGACTTGTCAGGCTGAATCACCTGCAGCTCCTCCTGTGCGGCAGCTCCTGGAGGGAAACAGCAGTTACTGTGCATCCTGAGGGGACCCGTGGAGATTCTGAAGTTTTATCAATGAGTTTCAGTGCCTGAGTGCACAGTGTGACCAGGACTTGAACTCTGCACACGGTGTGTTCAAGCAGGTTTAACCTTTACATGGGCCTCAAACCAGAGACAGTAATGGAAATGAGGAAACTGGGGCACAGAGAGTTTAAGAAACATGATAGTGTTTGTATTTGAGTCCCTGACCATCTCTGGAATTCTCATGTTTCATCCATTGTCTGTTCTTCACTTTCTGTGCACATGGTATGTTGTACTTGGTGGACCATGGCGTCGGTGGCCATGTGACTCTCTTTTGGCCACCCAGATGTGAACAGAGGTGGTGGTCACAGTGAGGAGCACATGCATTTGACTGCCAGAGTCTCTGCATTTTCCTCCTCTCACAGCGTTCCACATGGCTCACGGTAGCTTTGCTCCACCAACCTGGAGTGATGATGATATAAGAGTTCCCGTGAGGCTTACAAGGGAATAGAACATTGCTTTAAACTCCTAGGATTTTTCCCTATGACATAATCACACTATAGCAATTTTCTATTGCTGGGTTGACAAATTATTGAAAATTTAGTGTCATTAAACAATAGAAATTTAAGACTCAGGTACTGGCACATTTCTGCAATCCCACCCCAGAGAGAAGATGATTGTGAACTCGAGGCATGCCAGAGCAAAGGTAGCAATGTGACCCTGTCTCAAAATCAAAAGCAAAAGGGCTGAGGCACAGTTCAAATGACATTGCCTAGTACCACACAGCCCTGGTTCATCCCCATTACTGCAAGCTAACAAACAAAAAGAACAGAAATTTATGATTTCTCGGTCTGGATGTCAAATGTCCTAATTTGGTGTTGCTAGGCAACCATTCAGGGGTCATTAGGCTGCACTTTTCCCTAGAGGCTTTGTCCCTGGCCTAACCACATTCCAGAGTCTGCCAGGATTCTTTTTGCTTGGTTCTCATCTTCTTATCACTTATCCTCCCGCTACATTCATCACACATCCTTCTCCATCTCTGACCCTCTCGCCTCCTTCTTGTCAAGACTCTTGTGATCTATTGGGCACATCCTGATCGCAGACCAAGACTATAAACTAAATATCTTAAACATGGTCAGAAAGGTAGAGGAAAGCATGGACAAGGCACTAAGGAAATCAGGAGCATTAATAATTAAATGAGAACATCCACAAAGGGAAAGAAATCATAAAAGGGAGAAATTTGGGAGTTGAAAAGCACAATAGCTGATAGGCTCATTGGAGAGGCTCCACAACAGAAGTGAGCAGGCAGAAGTGAGAATCAGAAAATGTGGCGATAACGTCAGAGAGTCTGTGTGCAGACAGGAAAAAAATAAAGAACTCGAAGGACTTGGAGGAGACCATCAGGTGGCTCCACACACCCATTATGGGATCCCAGGAGGAGAGCGATGAGACAAAAAGAGAGGGGCGAAGATTATCTGAAAAACTAATGTCCTAAACCATAAGTGTTGATGAAATAACTGAGTCTAGAAATCCAGACGCTGGGCTGTCTCCACGTAGGTTAAACTCAAAACAGACCAAGATGGAGACACAGTATATCCAACCATCAAAAGCTAAAGTAAAGAGAGAACATTGAAAAATTCCAGAGACATATTGCTCACCTCATACAAGATCCTCCATAAGAGTCTCACCTGAGTGCTTTTCAGAAATGTCGCAGGCCCCAAGGCAGTGAGATAATATATTTAAAATGCTGATAGAAAAAATCCAGACAAGCAAGAACTCTGTGCATGGCAAAACCTCTTCTCTCATGAGAGAGAAAAATATGATATTCCCAGATAAACAAAACCTGAGGAGGTCATAACCATGATTCCTGCCCTGTAAGATACAATAAATGGAAATGAAGGATGCTAGATAGCAAGTAAAGGACAGACAAGAGGGCCCACTTGTCCTCGAGGGACTGGAAGAAGAGTTAAGCATTGTTAAGTACTGTTAAGTGATTGTTAATGTCAAATATAGGTCTTTATTGTAAGCACCCATTTAGCGTTCATTTTCCTTTCAATATACTAAGACTTTAGGGCAGGAGTGACTGACTTCCTAATTGATGCGGTTTGACCCTTCCTTGGATCCTCAGCTCCCTTTGTGGATGGCAAAGGACTACCAGCCAAGCCAAGGACAGCCCTCTTACCAGCGCCAGCTGCTTTGAACACTCTGGAGCCCTCAAGAGGTGACTTGACAACCACAGCTGACTGCCAAGCACATTTCTGGCTAGGACATGAAGTGTGCCACAACTGGTGAGACACCCTTGTCACACTCCTTTCCTAGAGATATAACTAGGTGGTTAGGCTGACTTGTGACTCAGCCTGGAGACACCCTCCTCTGCTGCCCCCTGATGTTGCAACATTGGGCCTAATAAAGACTTCTCTCCAGTGAACTTTTCTTGCCCATTTTTGGTTTTCTTCATTAGTAAAACAGGTAAGCTGGTAACATGCAAAAAAGAGAAGAAGCAGGTGTCCTTGACACCTACTCAGTATACATGCTTCAGGTGCCACAGCCCCTTCTGTACTGCATCCTCACTGCTGTCACTTTCCATTTACCGAATCCATCCAGGATGATGGACAGCTCACTGTAAGCAGGGAAAATGGGAAGGAAACCTCTCCCCTCAAGACCTCTGAGGTAGGAATATGCAATCATAAATGTCCTGTGAGCATGTACTTAGATGTTAAATGCTATTACTCTTTGAAATACGAAGACACTGTTCCTTAAAATTGAATTGTTACAAAATAAAAAATTTTAAAGACAAAGGTGAGGCCACTGTTTCTCTCTAGAGGAAGAAAGATCTATAGATCTTAGACTCTCTAGGGACACCTAGAGACAGAGGCTGCTTCTCACGACAGAGGCCACTCAAAACAACCAGGACCTTGTCAGATGTCCATCAGCATGGTTGCCAGCATCATAGAAGGGAAAAAATTCATCTATTGTTAAAATTATCTAAAAGATTCTGCAGAAGGAAACAACGTAGGTGAAAGGACAGATTATCTTGCAGAAAGCCTTCCTGTTCCTGTTTTTTCTCTAAGCAACCAGACGTAGTAATTTATGAATACTGATCAGGTAGTTAAACCTACAAAAAAAAAAAGCAGAGACAGACTGTTGCTTTTTAAGTCAAAATTTTAAAAAGTTACTTTAATCCTGTGTAATAGGCTATCATGAGATCTAACAACATATTGCTAACCTTAGATTGCTTATTGATTTAATAACAAGACAGAGAAAACAATGTTAGTGAAAACTTCATGTATATATATATACTATTTTAATATAAATTTGTAATAAACTGATGAATTGTATATTTGTGTGTATAATATATAACTAAATTAAATCAACATTCCATAGTTTCACCTAGTTGGAAATCCAAATTAATATACTGAATTTATACACTGATATTTTCTATAACAAACAAACACAAAAGATTAAAAAGGATGCTGATTGGTTTTTGTGTCCCTACTAAATGATTTTAGAAATTCCAAATGTGGGTAAATTCTCAAATTTTCACAGACATAACAAATATAGTGGCTCAAATCCTAATAGGAATCTCACTAAAGTTAAACACTGTACCCCAATAATTTTGAGAAGTTTACTAAATATAAAATAGAAGAAAAATAGTAGAAAGGTACTGTGAAACCCCAGGTTGCTCCTGTAAGAGTGATGACTGTGAACTCTCCCACTACCTATGATTACCTGCATCCATGATGACACTTTTCTGGGACTCTGCCATCCACACTTTCTCTTGCAAAGACAGTCCTCTCCTCCCTCCTCCAGCTAGAGAGCCACGGAACTTTTCTCATCTTTCTAGACTATCCTCCCAGGTCTTCACGTCTTAAAGGGCTCTAATCGCTCCTTACTGAGAAAGAAATATAAATAAGGCACAGCACTAGAAATGAAGGAATTTAAATTATCCCTCTTTGTAGATAATATGACTCTACACATAGGAAAAACAAAGTCTCCATCAAATGACTATCCAAAGTAATAAATTCACTACAATTATAGGATCCAAAATTGATATAAAAATCAGTATATTTTTATGCACCAGTAATTCTATTCCTAAAAGAAATCATGAAAAAAAATCCCATTGACAATGGCTACAAAAAAAGCCCTAGGAATAAATTTTACCAAGGTAGTGAAAAACATCTTCCAATAAAATTACCAAACACTGATGAAAGAAATTAAAGATGACACCAAAAATAGAAATACCTCACATGTTCTTGGATTGGAAGTACTAACAACATTCAAGTGTCCATACTATCCAAAGTGATTTACAGATTGAATGTAATCTTCAAACACCAATGACATGCTTCACGGAACTAGAAAAAAAAAATCCTACACTCATACGAAAGCATGAAAGACCGCAAATCAATAAAGCAATCTTAAACACAAAGAACAAGGCTGGCGGCATTGCAACACCTCCTTTCAGTACACATTTACAATGCCATGCTAACCAAAGCAGCATGGCACTGGAATAAAAACAGGCACATCAATCAGTGAAACAAAGCTCCCAAAAGCAAACACATGCACCTACAGACGGGTGATGGTCAACAAAGTGCCAAAAAACACATTGGAGAAAAGACAGCCTCTTCAATACATGGGGCTGGGAAAACTGAACATCAGATGAGGAACACCGAACCCTGAACACCCTCTCCTACCATGTTTAAAAGTCAAGTCAAAATAGATCAAAACTCTACATGGAAGACCAGCAGCTATCAAGCTACTAGAAGAAAACACAGGGAAACACTTCAAGTCATTGGTGTAGGCAATTATTCTTGATTTGGGGCCAAAAGCACAGGACACAAAAGCAAAGGTAGATAAATGGGGTTACATCCAACTAAGGCACTTCTGTACAGAAAAGAGACAACTGATGGAATGAAGAGACGACCCACAGAGTGTGAGAAAATGTTCCCCAATTGTTCTCTGACAAAGTGTTAGCATCTAGAAGACATGAGGAATTAAAAAACTTAACGAGAGGAAACAAGTAATCCAGTTTAATAACTGGCAAATGAGCTATGGAGCTTCCTCAATAAACTGAAGAGGGAACCACTACATGATCCTGCTACACCACTCCTGGGCAGACCTGTGGAGGAATGTAAGTCAGCACGCAACAGAGATAGCTGCACACCACGTCTACAGCAGCACTGTGCACAATAGGCAAACTACGGAATCAGGCTGGGTGTGCAAAAACTGGTGGATGAATACAACAACTGATGAATGGATAAACATGCACACACACACACTCACACACACACACACACACACACACACACACACACAATACATACGCATTCATTGGAGTATTATTCAGCCATATAAAAAATAAAATTATATTTCCTCTCATATGTGGAATCCATACCTAACCAAAAGAAAATGAATGATATGAATATAAAACAGAGACTACCTTGAGGTGAGAACCGCTGAGAAGGGGAGGGTGAAAGGAAAGGGTGACAAGTGTTGAATATAACTGAAGTACTTTATATGCTTGTATCAAAATAGAAAAATGAAATCCATCAAAATTTCTTTAAAGGGGAGGAGGGGGATATGAAACATTAATACAGGAGGTAAACTTGATTAAAGTCCATATTATGCTTGTTATGGAAATATCACAATGTAACCTTTTTGTACAATTTAAATATGCTAATAAAAATTGGCAAATAATCTGTATAGACACATCTCAAAAGAAGAATTACAACAAATACGTAAAAATACTCAATATCATTAAGCATCAGGGAAATTCAGGTCGCAATTACAATGAGATCCCCTTGTACTCTGGTTAGAATGCCTCTTATCAAAAAGACCCCAAAATAACAAACACTGATAAGGATGTAGAGACAGAGCAGCTCTCATAAACTGCTAGTGGGGTGTAAATCAGTCCATGGTGTATGGAGGTTCCTCAAAACACTAAAAATAGAACTACCATATGATCCACCTATCTCACTTTTAGGTATACACCAAAGGAAATTACATGAGTACATCTATGACCTGTAAGCCCATGTTTATTGCAACACTATTCACAAGAGGCTAAGACACAGAATGAGAACAGGTGCCATCAACACATGAGTGGATAAAGAAAATGTGGTATGTATGTGCACAATGGAATATTCCTTCAGCCATAGAGAATGAAATTCTGTTATTTACAGTAAAAGGGATAGATGAATATGAAATTCTGCTATTTATAGTAAAAGGGATAGAAATGAAGCCATAAGTAAAATAAGCCTAAACAGAAAGACAAGAACAGTATGTTCTCAAGGTGAAAAAAGTCAACTTGAAGCTAGAATACTGATTATGACAGGTTGGGAAGGGTGGGTGGGTAGGTACTGGATAAAGGGAGGCTGGATTTAAATAGAGCAAGCTGTATGCGTGTGTTAAAAAATCCCACAGAACCCCTTCAATATGTACAGTTAGTATATATAACTCAAAAGTGTAAAGGAAATATTAAAAGATAAATTCAGTTAAAATAGGTAAATGGTCCAGAATATGTTAAAACAAGGCCTTCAAGGATCAAAATGCTTTATGCAAAATCAGACATTGTCCCCAATGCTCCAAAATTGACAGCCAGATTTTGCTTATTCTTTAGGAAAAAATAAAGAACCCATCATGATGGATTACTACAGCTTCAGTGCTGTGGTCCCCATACCCTATCACCAAATTATTAAAATAACAGATTCCACTCAATGGACAACTAGTAAATATTTTGCTCTAATAGAGTTACCGAAATGTTTTGTTCAGTAACTACTTCAACAACTAGCATTTACCTCTCCCTGTGATAGGACACAATTCACCCTTTCCAGTCTACCCAGGGAGTACCTCAAAAGTTTTACCATCATACGTAATCATTGCAGACAAGATATTAGCTTCCATCTTTCTCCAGAAGCACAGATGGGACACTACATTGTTAACAACATTTCCTATTACAAATGACTAATAACCTAAATCTCTTGGTTCATTCTGGTTTCAGTGGCAACAAATTCCTTAATTACAAATTTTATGTACAAAATAAAACCAACAGGTACTCCTGTTATGCCTCCAACAAAACCCACAAACTAACTAACACCTACTACTTCACTGTAGAGGTTTGACAACCTCTCTCATGCCTCCTAGAGTCTCAAGATGACTTGTGATGGTGACAAGTGTTCCCAGGCCTTCTGAGTTAAAAAAAAAAAAACTGGCCCTGATGGTCCTGTGCTATGAACCATGAAAACAAGAAATGACTGGCTACCTGCTGGAATCTCCAGGAAGGAGAGGCTCTCATAAGCCTTGATAACTCTACAAGCTTCGCACAGGTACTGAGGCCTCATTAAGACAGGCTGGAGCCAAACCTTGGCTGTCTGGGATAGTCCACCTGCGGGAGGGTGTCACTTCCTCATCCTTAGTCCCTCGCATGATGCCAGGGTATCAAAAGAGGTTATTTCCCTCCAGGCCTTGGCTTCCTGGGGAGCCTGTGAAAAATAAAAAGAGTGAAAAATAGGAACGTCAATCTAACCATCATATACCTCAGAACTCAGTGGATGTTGCTGCTTTCCCAATAAAGAAGAGGAAGCAAAAAACAACACATTTGGCCAAACTTTAGCAGTGGCTTTGGCACTGAATGCCCTACTCAACAACTAGTCTAATCTTGAGTTTATTATCCAGTGTTGGGTCTTTACCTAAAAATTGCCCTATTTAAGGTAAAAATGAAAAATCTGAAAATCTCTTCCTCACAGTTGCTAACAATATTTATCAAAATGACATGTCATCACTAAGGGAAAGTGACTGAGAAGTAATGAAGAGGTCTGGTAGAGATGAATCAATTTGGATTGTAATACACTTGTGCATGGAAGCAATGCTAGGAATCTCTGTATAGCTCTCCTCATCTCAAACTAGCAAAAACACTGTATCTTTCTTATTATTGCTTATGTCTACTCTTCAACAAAATTGGAGAAGAGGGCAGAGCAGTTTCTTCCTGGAAGCGAGGGGGTGGGAGGAAGAGGGAGAAGATGGGGAGGTGGTAGCGGAGGAGACATGGCCCAAACAAGGTATGGGCATATGAATAAATAAATAAATAATGATGTGTCAACATATACTAAGGTCACAATAAAGGTCTTGTCCAAATAGTCCTCATTCCACTCAAGGTACCATCATTACTAATTGTAAACAAGACCTACTTTTTGCTTCTTAGAGAACAACTTGTTGAGATCTTAAAAGAAGTAATCAAGAGAAGTTTCATGTCCCAGATAGGTTACATATCTGGTTCAAATGATTGACATAATTGTCTCCTCAAATAATTTTTTTTCAAATTCTAATCTTGCAAACAATCCCTCAAATGTGTTTCCATTTCTCCCTAGGCCTTAACTTGTTATAATAAATTTTGTATCTTAATCTCATTCCATAAGGAGTAGTGGCCATATCAAGCAGGCACATTTTCCTAGGACCCATTAACTCTAGATGGTACCACAGGACAGGCCACTGCTCAACTGAAATGGGGCCCAGCTAAGCTTCACCTGCTGCTGAAATAAATTTAAATTCTTGTCATGTGGAGCTGCACACTATTCTGCTGGTCTTATTACTACTGACTTATTGATGAAACCATCCTCCAATAATACTAGCAAACTGTACTTACAGCATTTTAAAAGATTATATACCATGATCAAGTGGTCTTTATTCCTGAAATGTAAGGATTGTTCCTATACAAAAATCAAACAATGTAATACACTATATTCATAGAAGGAAGGAATAAAGCTACTTAACCATTTCATCTGATGCAACATTTGACAAAATTCAACATTATTTTGCCAAAAAGAATCAACAATAACAGGAAAAGTCTTCTGCATGAGAAAAGTCACAAATAAAAATCTCATCATAGTCAATGGCAAAAGACTGAAGGCATTTCCTTTAAGATCAGGAACAGCACAGGATTCCCACTTTCTCCACTTCTATTCAACACAGTGCTCAAAGTTCTAACCAGAGAGAATAGTCAAGAAGAAGACAAAAGGGTATTTGAATTAGAAAGAAAGAACTGTATTTATCTCTGGTTGCAAATGATAGGACATGATATGCAGAAGTCCTAAAGATTCCACAAAATACTGTTAGTGCTAATAAATGAATTCAGCAAATTTGTAGGGTATGAAATCAGCACTAAGAGTTCAGTTGTATTTCTCTACATTAGAAATGAACAATCTGAAAAGGATATTAAGCAATCACTCCTGTTCAAAAAAAATCTACAGTAAACTGAACTATGGAGACGAAAGACTTGAGCAGTACAAACTATAAAACATGCTGAAAAAAATTAAGGAAAACAAAATTAAATGGAAAGACATCCCATGTTCATGGACAAGAAGAATTGATATTATTAAGCTACCACTACTAACAAAACTGTATAATCCCAATCAAAATGACAGCTATATTTTTGCAGAAAGAGGGAAATGTGGAAGTCCAAATAACCACAATCATTTTTGAAAAGAAAATCATTGAGGACTCACATTTCTTAGTTTGAAACTAACTACAAACTACAGTCATTAAGGCAGCATGACGTTGACATCACAATAGAAACAAGGACCAATGGAATAGAATAGAGCCAAGAAATAAATCCTCACATATATGGTTGATTGATTTTCAACAAGGATTTCAATGTGGGAGGAGAGTCTTTTCAATATTCTGGGAAAACTGAATATCTACATGCAAGATGATTGAATTGATTTCATCTTGCACTATCAATAATTACTAACTCAGAATAGATCAAAAACCCAAATATCACAGCTAAGCCTTCAAAAAAAATAACTTGACAATTATTTCTTTCATTTGACAAAAAAATCACAAGCAACAAAAGGATAATAAATAAGTTTAACTTATCAAAATTAAAAACTTTGTGATTGAAAAGAAACTTGAAGAAAGTGAAAAGAAAATGTACCAAATAGGAGAAAATATTTGCAAAGTGTATATCTTCGAAGGGACTAATATCATGAATGTCAAAAGAATGCCTGCAACTGAAAAACAAAATAACACACAATTCAATTTTAAAAGAACAAAGTACATGAGTGTACATTTTTCTATGGAAGACATTCACAAATGGTCAATGAGCACCTGAAAAGATGCTCAATGACACTGTGCATTAGGACAGTGCACATCAAGACCGCAGTAAGAGGCCCTTGCCAGCCCTTAGGATAGCTATTATCAAAACAAAAGCAAAAATATGACAAGCACAAAACAGAAATAACAGGTGCTGGCAAGGGTGTGAAGAAACTGGAAACTTTATGCATTCTTGGCGAGAAAGTGAAACAGTGAATCTTCTGTGGGA